GTGCGGAGCGTGGGGGGCGGCGGGGCGGGCTCGCTGCGGGCTCGGGGCTGGGGGCTTTCCGCGGAGGGCGCGCCCGGGCCCGCTCCCGCTCCGGCCTTCCAGATTGGGCCTGCGTCCCGAAGTGACCTCAGCCTGACCTCGGACAGCTGCTTGTGACCTTGGCCTGCCCCAGCACCCTTGCTTGCATCGACCTCAGCCCCAGCCCCGGATTCAAACGCCAGCCTTACGCCCCCTCCTCAGGGCCGGATCGCGGTCGAGGAGTCAGGGGAGGGCGGGCGTGGGGCGGGCAGTGGCGCTCCGCAGGAGTGGGCCGGCGCTGGGTGGATGAGTGGGAGAGGTGGGCGCGGAGAGGCAGATCCCCAGGTAGGGCCGGGTGGTGTTCTGGCAGGCGCTGAGCGGGGCTCTTGCAGGCAGTGTCCTTGTCGTCGAAGGCCGGTCTGTCCCGGGGCCGGAAAGTGATGCTGTCCGCCTTGGGCATGCTGGCGGCAGGGGGTGCAGGGCTGGCTGTGGCTCTGCATTCTGCCGTGAGTGCCAGTGACCTGGAGCTGCACCCCCCAAGCTATCCGTGGTCCCACCGTGGCCTCCTCTCTTCCCTGGACCACACCAGGTGTGCTGCTGGCTGGCCGGGGGTTTCTGGGTGGACTGGGTGGGGTGGAATCCCTGCCGCCCCTAATCCGTACCGTCTCTTCAGTATCCGGAGGGGTTTCCAGGTGTATAAGCAGGTGTGCTCCTCCTGCCACAGCATGGACTACGTGGCCTACCGCCACCTAGTGGGTGTCTGCTACACGGAAGAAGAAGCTAAGGCGCTTGCGGAGGAGGTGCGCGGCCTGGGGCTGAGGAGGACCCAGGGATTGGGGCTCCCGCTGTGGTGGACGGCAGGGTTGTGATGGGGCTCTTCGTGGCAGGTGGAGGTTCAGGACGGCCCCAACGAGGATGGGGAGATGTTCATGCGGCCAGGGAAGCTGTCTGACTACTTCCCGAAACCATACCCCAACCCCGAGGCCGCTCGAGCAGCCAACAGTGGAGCACTGCCCCCTGACCTCAGCTACATCACGAGAGCTAGGTACGGGGGCTGCCTGCAGGGGGGTGCGGGGAGGGGGAGGAAGGTCCGTCCTGTGCCAGGGCTCAGGAGGCAGGATCTGGTCCCAGGCACGGTGGTGAGGACTACGTCTTCTCCCTGCTAACGGGCTACTGCGAGCCGCCCACCGGGGTGTCACTGCGAGAGGGCCTCTACTTCAACCCCTACTTTCCTGGCCAGGCCATTGCCATGGCTCCTCCCATCTATGATGAGGTCTTGGAGTTTGATGATGGTGAGAAGCCCCCCGCCTGGGGATCAGCACGCTGGGTCCTCTTCCCACTGCCAGGGATGCTTCTCCTGTCTTGGGCCCTGCACTCTCCTTGGCTCACGCACTGTGTGTCTGAGCCAGCTTATGGGCAGCCTCCACAGTCCCGTCTAGCCCAGACCCCTATGTACTGGGGGGAAGGGGGTCCCATTCCTTGTGAAGCCTTGGTGAGGAGCCCATCCTGGCTGTGTGTGTGGGGGGGTGCTCCAGGGCTACCCCAGGTTGGGTAGGGACCTCCAGGGGCAGCCCTTACCACTCTTCCTTGACTCAGGCACCCCAGCCACCATGTCCCAGGTGGCTAAGGACGTGTGTACCTTCCTGCGCTGGGCATCCGAGCCAGAGCACGACCATCGCAAACGTATGGGGCTCAAGGTGAAAGGGTTGGGCCTGGGAGAGGGGCTGGGAACCGGGCAGGGCTCCTTTCTGCTTCCTTCCTCTGAGCCTGCCTCATCCCCAGATGTTGATGATGATGGGCTTGCTAATTCCCCTGATCTATGCCATGAAGCGGCATAAGTGGTCAGTCCTGAAGAGCCGGAAGCTGGCGTATCGGCCACCCAAGTGACCCTGCCCAATGTCTGCTGTCTTGTGTGAATGGGGAGCCTCAAGCCAAGGAGCGACCCTGGACCTGTTCAGGCCTCAGCTGGCCCTCTTGGCCAAGCCCCACTTTCTTTGGTTAAAGAGGGGAGGGGCCAGGAGATCAGGTTCTAGCTCCAGATCCTTCAGCCTCCATCATGGAAATAAATTAAGTTTCTCAACACACGTTTGAGCTGTTGTGATGGGAGCACAAGTTTGCAGGGGACTCAGAGACTAAGACCCTTGCTCTCAAGCTCCCAGAGATGTTCCACTGAGTGTGGCCAGCATTGCCATGTACAGATTGGTGACTGGATGACTGCAGTCAGTATTGCATGTGGAACAGGGAACAGCTGTTTAGAGAAGGTTGCAGCACTCATCGAGGGGGGGAGTACCCGATCACAGAGGTGAAAAGGGCCTGGCTTGGCCAGACATGGCCCAGGGGCCTGGTGGAATAACCAGTCATTTGTCAGTGTGTGAACCACTGGGCTTTCATCCTCAGGGCAACAAGGAGCACTTGGCAGCATTTCAACAGGGGAGAGGCCTGGCCTCAGGGAGGAGCTGCTGGGGAAGGGAGACAGCCTCCAGCTGTGCTGAGAAAGCAGAGTAGGCAGAAGCCACCCCGAATGTGCTCTTGGTCTCCTGGCTGGGCATCTGGGGTGGCCCCAGCAGCACACAGCCCTGCCCTATTGCTCCTAGCTTCAGAGCTTTTCTTGTTCCCAGGAGGGGAATGTAAGGAGCATCCTGGCTGGAACAGCCCACGAGTGGTAGCCAGAGTCTGGGAAGGGTGGGAGCCAGGTGGGAGAAAGAGCATGTGCTTGGAAGTTTCTGGGTGGACAAGAGGCAAGGTCAGCGGCAGGACTGGGATGGGGGCTCTTCATACTCTTGGGGTCTGGGAAGAGAGCTCAGCCCCATGCTTCTAGGATCCCTAGGGTTTGGAGTCCCAAGTACTCTTGAGTAGCCACCTGGACCTGGCTGGGTTGCCCCACCACCAGCTGATGAGGACCAGGCCCCACCTCTGCCAAGTTTCATCCCAGTGGGGCTGTGCCCCGCCCTCCATCCTCCCAGCAGCTCAGTCTGCAGAAAGGCGAAGAGATGGGGCAGTCGGCTGGCTCAGAAGTGTCTTTAATGACTCCAGATTGTGGCCCCCCCACAACCCCAGCGTGATCCCTAGTGAGCAGTCAGCAAAGGTCCCCTGAGAGTTTCAGGAGGGGGGGTCCAGGGACCTTGGGCCTGGAGGGATTGGGCCATCCTCTCTCTCTGTGACCTGGGCGGGAGGGAAAGCTAGGTCACTGGGCTTGTTGGGCCCCTCTGCCCCTTTCCCCTTCCCGCCTCTGGTACCTTTGGCGGCTGCCGGGTGGAGGCTGCAGGAAGGGGCTCCCACGTACAGGGCTTCTGGGTGCTGCACACCTCACAGCCAGGCCGGTGGGGGGCGTTGATGAATGTGCAGGAAGGGCAGGACCAGCCGGGCTGCGGAGGAGGGGAGAGAGCGTTGCTTCTCTTTCCTTCCAGGGCCCAGAGGGCCCAGGCCCACCCTGCCCAGCCCCTGACCCACCTGAAGGGGGCTGGGGAGGCCGGAGCTGGCTGGCTGAGGAGCTCTGGGCAGCCCCAGTGACTGAGGAAACAGGCGGCTTAGCTCCCCATTTGTCTTCTGGGGGCCCTGAGGGCTGCGTCCTGCAGTAGACGAGGTGGAGCTGCAGGGTGTGGCAGGCTGCACCTCACCTTCCTCATCCCATCCACGTCAAGGACTCACCTGGGGCTTCTCGAGGGGCTGAGAGCAGGTAGAGGAAAGCAGGATCCCCATCTCGCCGGACCCCATAGGAAGCGAGGCTGCACTCAGGCACACACAAGCACCGCCCAATGACCCAGCGCTGCACAGCTGGTGGGAAGCCAAACTCCGAGAACACCTGGGGCCGGAGCATCAAGGCCAGGCAGTGTCACTGAAGGCCCCCTGCCCCAGCAGGGCTCCCCAGCCCCCATGCTTACCTGTTCCTGGAGGGTCGCAATGGTGCAGTGGGGGTGGACTTGCAGCGAGACGTGGGCAGAGGACGCAGCATCTTCAACTGTGACCTGTAGCCTGGGCCAGAACATAGATCAGGGGGAAGGTGGGGGTCCTGGAAGGGTTGGGATGTCAGAGTGAAGAAGGCCTCACCTGATGGGGCCAGGAGGGAAGCAGGCCTCCTGGAGCTGGACACTGAGGGCCACGTGATGCTGAGCCAGGATGGCTGCTGCTTGGGCTGCCCCCTTTTCATCCCCATCCTCGATGGCCCGGGCCAGGCACCCCACCAGCTTTTCTGCAGGGGGAGGGAAAAAGCCATCAGAGCTGAACACAGACTGCTGCTTCCACCCCCCTCTGCCACCTGCCTTTACCTCTCTCCATAGAGTCTCCAGGGCTCCAGCAAAGATCCACCTTGGGTTGTGGGGCCTGGAGTGTGGGCACTTCAGGGGGACTGGGCGGGGAAACAGGGCACATTTCTGGGCCCAGGGCTTGGGGCAGGCTGCCTAGGAGGGAAGATGTGGGGTGGGCTGGGGTCTCCTGAGATCCAGCCCTCAAGCCGAGTACTCACCCAGGCCTCTGCTCTCTGACCTCGGGTTTCGAGGACCATTGCCACCTCCTTGCTCACCTCAGCCCATGCCGCGGCCCTTGCCCACACATTAAGCCAGACTGTCCCCCTCAACCTTGGCCCCTGCCAACCCCTGAAAGGTCCCTGCCAACTCCTCAGAGCTGAAGCTGCACTTGGCTTTTCCTTGGGTTCTGGCATGCTCTGGACTCTTCTGTCTAGCCCTACCTAGGCCCTTCTGCCAATGAGGCCCCGTCAGCCCGCCAGGGATGCTCCCTTGGCCTCGCAGCAGAACCAAAGCAGATCCTCAGGAGGAGCCTGCCCTTTCCTGCTCACCAGGAGCCCTGCAGTTAGGAGAGTCTCTTCGTGGTGCCTCAGGGACATCCATCCTCTCTACTGGCCATCAGCACAGGACACCTTGGTGGCTCCCGTTCCAAACAAACCCTCTTGGGCCACTGCCTGCTCAGGGCGCCCTTGCAGAGCTGGCTGCGCCGCTGTCTCCCCTTCTGACCTTCCACCTTAGGCCCAGCCCACCCGCCGCTGATGCGCTCCTATGGCGGCCTCAGGCCCTCAGTATTCTGAGCCATCTGCCCACTGACATAAGCAGGGCTCCTGAGCACCCAGGACCAGGCCTGGCCCAGCTTGGCTGAGTCCCAGAGATCACACGCATACTCTCGCCTGGGGGCTTTTGTACCTGCTGCTTCCTGGCCACATGGGTGTGAAGATCACGCTAGGATCTTCAAATTTCACTCGTGTCACCTTAATGAAGCCTTCCCTGCCACCCTATTTAAAACTGCAAACCCCTCCCTTCCAGCACTCCCATCTCCACTATCTGATGGAATTTTACTTATTTTTTTTTCCAACTTAAATATGTATGTATGTATATGTATATTTTTCGGGGGGGAGGGGCAGAGGGAGAGGAAGAAAGAATCTCAAGCTGACTCCACACTGAACGCAGAACTGAGGTGGAGCTCGATCTCACGACCCTGAGATCATGACCTGAGCCGAAATCAAGAGTCGGTCGCTTAACCAAAACCTGAGCCACCCAGGCAACCCCCAACTTAAGTATTTTTTAAAAAATATTTTATTTATTCATTTGAGACACAAAGATACAGAGAGAGAGAGCATGAGCAGGGGGAGAGGCAGAGGGAGAGGGAGAAGCAGGCTCCCCGCTGAGCCAGGAGCCCAATATGGGACTCGATCCCAGGACCCTGGGATCATGACCTGAGCCGAAGGCAGACGCCTAACCATCTGAGCCACCCAGGCGCCCCAAGTATTTTTTTATTGAGGGACACCTGGCTGCCTCAGTTGGTGGGGCATGTGACTTGATCTTGGGGTTTTGAGTTCAAGCCCCATGCTGGGTGTAGGGATTACTTAAATAAATAAATAAGGGATGCCTGGGTGGCTCAGTCGGTTAAGCATCTGCCTTCGGCTCAGGTCATGATCCCAGGGTCCTGGGATGGAGCCCGCATCGGGTTCCCTGCTCAGCGGGGAATCGGCTTCTCCCTCTCCCCTTGCCCCTCACCACCACTTGTGCACACTCTCTCTCTCAAATAAATAAAATCTTTAAAAAATAATAATAA